CGTCCCTGCCCACATCTTGATTTTGGACTTCTGGCCTCTAGAATTGTGAGGAAAGAGATTTCTATTGTTTTGAGCCACCACATTTATGTGGTAGTTTGTTACAGCAACCACAGGACCTTTGAGTGGACATCTGAGAAGGTGGCAGGCCCTGGAAGGGTGGGAACAGCCTGGGATGACCAGGAGGTAGGAAAGGCCTGCGTGTGTGTCTCAGGAGCAGCACAGAGGCCAGTGTGGGTAGAGCAGAGTGAAGGAGGGGGAGGGGAGGGAGGGAGAGCCTTGCTAGATTTAACACAAAACAAAACAAAACACCCAACAGGACAATGCCATTGAACAGAATTTCAGATAAACAGTGAAATTGCTATTATTAGCAGAAGTAGATCCCAAATATTACGTGGGGTATATTTATACTGAAAAGTTGATTTGTTGTTTATCTGAAGTTTCACTGGGCGTTCTATATTTTACCCGGCACCCCACCCAAGGGGGATTGCTCATTGTGTTCCAAATATGGGCTGGGTGAAGTGTTTTGTTAAGAGGGCCCCTGGCAGTGCAGGAAAGAGGGCCCCAAGGCCAGATCATGCAGGCCAGGACGTGGTGGGGGCAGGGGGGGATGGTGTGGGACTCTTGTGCTATGCACGTGGCCTGCACCAGCCCAGTTTAGACTCCTGGAAACCCCTGAGTCAAGTCAGCTGGGGGCTGGCCGCCATCTGATTGCCTCTCCAGGCCCTCCATGCAATTGTTTTATTGAACTACACTTGAACCTGAGGCTCACACAGAAGGATGTTATGGGAAACGGATCGAGTGCATCAGGATATCTGCTGTCCAAGGATATTTGCATCCCATTCGTGTGCAGGAAAGGGTTAACTCAGCAGGCCTGAGTGTCCCTGTTCTGCACGTGAATGGTTTGGCCCTTGCCAGGCTCCTGAGAGGTGCCCTCTAAGCCCTTAGAATGTCCTCCTTGATAAAAGTGTCCTTGTGGGGGCCCCGGGGTGGCTCATTCAGTTAAGTGTCTAGTTTCGGCTCAGGTCATGATCTCACCGTTTGTGAGTTCGAGCCCCACATCGGGCTCTCTGCTGTCAGCACGGAGCCCGCTTTGGATCTTCTGTCCCTCTCCGTCTCTGCCCTTCCCCCTCTCTCTCTGCCCTTCCCCCACTCACACTCTCTCTCCCTATCTCTCAAAAATAAATAAGCATTAGGGGAGCCTGGGTGGCGCAGTCGGTTAAGCGTCCGACTTCAGCCAGGTCACGATCTCGCGGTCCGTGAGTTCGAGCCCCGCGTCGGGCTCTGGGCTGATGGCTCGGAGCCTGGAGCCTGTTTCCGATTCTGTGTCTCCCTCTCTCTCTGCCCCTCCCCCGTTCATGCTCTGTCTCTCTCTGTCCCAAAAATAAAATAAAAACGTTGAGGAAAAATGAAAAAAAAAAAATTAAAAATAAATAAATAAATAAATAACTAAGCATTAAAAAAAAGTATCCTGGTTTTACTTGAGGCCTTGGGCCACACGGGATGGCCAATGCTCACGTGTGTTTGGCAGGGAGCTTTGGGACACGTGGTATCAGCTTGACCTGGGGTGGGGGGGGTGTTGGGAGACCGAGGTCAGCCGGGCAGGTGATCAGCTGTGTCTCCATAATCAACCCCCGGTAAAAATCCTGGACCCCAAGGCTGGTTGAGCTCCCCCGGTCGGTGCTGTTGTCACACACGGTCGCTGACAGAAGTAAGCGCTGTCCACGTGACTCCACGGGGAGGGGACACCTGGAAGCTTGGGCCTGGTGTCTTCTGAACTCAGCCCCACACACCTCTACCCTTTGCTGATCTTAATCCAAGGGACCCCCTGAACCACAATTCCATTTCTGACACTGGAAAGAAAACCGTGCCTGATCTTAGCTAAGTTGGGATTGGGCTACCTCTTCTAGAGCAACAGGTGGGTTCCCGAAGCTGTGGATGGGGAAACTGCTCGGGCTTCTCCTCATTGGCCGCTGGAAAGAGCCACACGTGAAACCCGCTGTAACAGGTTTCTAGGTCACTGGGGTCTTCAGTGCCCTTGACCTCAGTCCTGATTCCAGTCTGTGCCTGTACCCTTTGTTCGTCTTTCTTCTCACGTGCCTGTTTCCCATGCTGCCTTTCACGCACACTTGTGCCACCTAAAACTGGACGGAAGATGTGCAGGAGCCATCACCACGAGCCACATGTGGCTCTTCATGTGGCTGGTCCAAGTCGAGATGAGCTGTTGGTGTAGAACACGTGCCAGGTTGCATAACCTTCGCGCGAGAATTTTGTCATTTATTTATTTCTTTTTAGTTTGGTTATTTTTGAGAGAGAAAGACAGAGCACGAGTGGGGGAGGGGCAGACAGAGAGGGAGACACAGAATCCGAAGCAGGCTCCAGGCTCCGAGCTGTCAGCACGGAGCCCGGCATGGGGCTCGAACTCACGAACCTGGAGGTGGTGACCTGAGCCGAAGTTGGACTCTTAAACGACTGTGAAAAATACCGTTAAGAATTTTTATGTCAATTTCATGTTAAATTTTTAGAATGTATTGGGTTAAATAAGATATATTATTCACATGAATGACACCTGTGTCTTTTTGCCTTTTTAAATAGGGTCATGCCAGGGCACCTGGGCGGCTCAGTTGGTTAAGCGTATGACTTCGGCTCAGGTCATGATCTCACGGTTTGTGAGTTCGAGCCCCGCGTCGGGCTCCGGGCTGACGGCTCAGAGCCTGGAGCCTGCTTCGGATTCTGTGTCTCCCTCTCTCTCTGCCCCTCCCCTGCTCATGCTCTGTCTCTGTCTCTCAATAATAAATAAACGTTCACAAAATTTAAATAGGGTCATGAGAACATTCAGTTATAAATGTGGCTCACATTTGTGGCTTGCATTACTGGACAGCACTGGTCTACAGTTCCTCTGACCCCTTATAAAAATCAGGGCTGATTTTAGGGCAATGAAATTACCCTATCTGAGGTTATAATGGTGGATATACGCCATTACACATTTGTCCAAATCCATAGAAGGCGCAACAGCCAGAATGACCATAATGTAAACTACAGACTTTGGGGGACGATGATGTGTCAATGCAGGTTCATCGACTGTAGCAAATGCACCCCTCCAGTGGGGGGTGTTGATATTGGAGGAGGCTGCATGAGAGTACGGAGTGGGGGGAATATAGGGGGCTTGCGGGAAATCTCTGTACTTTCTGCTCAACCTGGCTGTGAACCCAAATCCGATCTTTATTTTTTTTTAA